GCCGAGGAATGGTGGCGATGTCCAATCCGTCTTTGGTGCGGAGATGGAGAACGGTCAGAGAGGAGTGCCAGTCCTGTGCTCTGGAGAATCAGCTGAACGCCAGACACTGTGAGCACCTGTATGAGGTGAGTCTTCAAATTGGGTCACTTCGCTCAAGCACTGTCTGTCTTCGACAAGGCGTCTGTGTCTCATGTTGAGCTTACTTGTGTCCGGGACTTTGTGCCGCATGGCCGATTTCGCACAGTGACCACCTTCGCGGAGGGCTCCTAGCCCAGTGAAAGAGATTTCAGTATCTGTGTGCTGGAAGAAATGCAATCAAAACATCGGTAGAAGTCGTCAACCTGCGAGGCGAATATCAGAGGAGCGAAATGCTAGCATTGACAAAATCCTAAGCACTCCATCTAGATGTTTACTGGAGAGAACTGGCCCCGCGGCCTGACGTGGCACATTACCTGTCCTGGACGTGCGCAGCACGCCTTGTATGTTTACACGGAATTTGGGATCGTTGTTGTAAGAGACTCAGATCGAACAATGTCACTCGAGCGCCCATCGCGACACTGCTGCAACATCAAGTACACCCGTGGTCCAGTCTGTTTTGGTATTCCTCGCAGCCTGGTGGGTGCGACCCAGAACATTTAGGTTCTTGTGCCTGTTCTAAGCCTTCCTTTCTGATTTGCGGGGGAAATCGAGATCAAGTGGTTGCCCCTGATAGATATAAGTGATCCGCGAAAAGACGTTGATGCAAATGTCATGTTTGCGAGTAGATTTTGCAGGCGGTAAGAATCTGTGTCCTTGCAAAAGGAAAATATCATCTTCGTGCTAGACCCGTGAGGGAGAGCGCTGATGGCAGAATTGATGTACAAGACTTGAATTCTCCATGCGACTAAACTTTGGTTCCTTAGACTAGCTGGCAGATCTTATCATCGCATGCAACCATGCTGGATATGAAGAATATGGGTTGTTGTCCGCTCAGCCATACCTGAGCCATAGTAAATGAAGATGCTCAAATTTCCGAGGACACTGAGTGATCCCAGAGGACACAAGACCTGGAGTCGCAAGTTCGTTTCTCTAAATATGACCAGGTACGATTTTTATTGATGCTCAACACGAGCTATAGTCGGAAAGCACTTGATTCACTACTACGTGATGCAGTGAATGGACTGCACCACGTATTGAATTAATTTGATCGAAGGAAAGATTGCACATCATCAAGCAGATCATATAAGCCCGGGGCCACATCCGGAACACCATGAGCCAGTCTTTCAGAAGTCGTGAGATGCCAGAGTCGTGTATTTCCTGCAAATCACATGACTCATATTAATCCGGACGACTATCCGGCCAGGTCACTGCTCCTTAGTGACTATCCCAATGCCTGCCCGTGCAAGCTTAGCCCAAAAATGACACAATACCTGACGATGCGGCTGAAGCGTTCTTTCTTTGGGCGAGAGCTTTCTACGCGTAGAAAGCTCTCTTCTTCAGGCATTCATCTCGACCCAAGTAACACACTAGGCGAAAAGAGTATACGACGATATTCACCCGAGCAGCTCTACCCAGTGTACCGAATCTACCGATGATATATTTTGCTTGAAGTACAAGGTCACCTGTTAGGCCAGTTATGGAGCTCGTTTAACGGTGTGGCTCTGCAGACATGTACAGTATGTTGTACTACCATCGTCTTTCAAATTCAGGGATTCAAGTCTGACGCCGTGCAGACAGCAGGCCTATGTCACATCGGAAATGCAGCAGCACGACCCTAGTGATTAAAGAAGAGAACAGGAGGCGTGCAGCCATCTCAGAAACTTCAAGTATAGCCATACAGACTGAGTATTTTCACGATGCACCACCGACGACTTTCAAATTAGCTCTGCCGAAAAAGACTACTCCAATCGGTTCCTCATGCATCCGACCTCGGCTCTGGCTCTATACGAACTGCATCAGCGCACCTCGGATAGGGTCCCTGACAAGACTTAGTCAAGCAGTCTTGTTTCATCTGCTTACGATAAACTTCCTTCACTCGTAAGCAAAAATTGTTTATAATGGTATGGGACTCTCAATCTCGCGTTAGCGCCCAAGTGCCTGAAATCCCATCCATGTTGACTGGATTCTTGCAGATATACAAGAGAATAACATTATGCAAAGTGTGGAAGATGAGTCAACTATGGTCGATGCCGAGAAAACAGACAATATCAGCCCACGCTCTTGCAAGATTATTGACGGTCGAGTGATCTATTCCTCCCGGGGCTTAGGTATTCCAAAGGTGCGATAGCGTTCTAGACTTCGGGGAAATAGTGGAAGTACGTTCAGCCTTTCCCTTACCGGGCTCCAGAGGCAGGCAGTATTATGCATGCCGTGGAATGAGAGGATTGGTATTTGGAGCATGGGGTTTTTTGTATGTGACGACCGCAAGACAGGTCCAAATTGGCTGGATACTAATATTATATTGGGTCTGGCAATTTTTCGAGCAGAAGCCTCTCGTTTACGTGGTGATTCCAACGGAGAAATCCTCAGACAGCAGGCATCAACTCACAAGCACGATAGCTATATTGGGCGTGCGGCCAAGAGAGATTCTTCAACAAAACGAGTACGCGATAAAGTTCCTTGGTCGTGACGGTAGGATTTCATGTCCCCGTTCTCCTATTGGCATTCCGGCAATGAATGGTTCTAAGCAGGGTAACAGAATGGCTATGTTGAAATGCCTCCCATATCTTTGAAGAAGCTGGAGAGTAATTTGCAGGGCACAAATAGAAGTTCTCGCGGAAAATGTTCCAATCACAACCAAAGAACTGTGCATCGGCGAAAGTCTTATCGGCCGATCCTTGGTTGAAGTCAGATTGATATAGTCCATGCTCGGAGTGGATAAAGTCATTAAGACATGAAAACGGTCGTCACAACAAAGAGACCACAGCGATATCGAGACAGTTCACCTGTGTCAGTATCGGAGTGGAACGGCAGGCTTACTTGTTGAGCATATCTGGCGCTCTTTGCCGACTAATGTCTGGCGACAGTGAGCCACTTGCTGTTCCTGACGGCTCACTTGATCTGCATCTGGTCATTGTGTCAATGTGAGCAGTGGCGATTGGAAGTCTCAAACAAGCCCTAGATCTTAAGGTGAGCTCCGTCCGCCGCCATCATCGGTAAGTTCTCCATATGTCCATCCCTCTGCGATGAATGTGTATCTCCAGTTGGCTGGTACTTTACGGCCACAGGCGTAAAACGTTGTAACGAGTCCGAAGAAAAGCCCGGCTTAATGGCACAAGCAGTGTCCTCCCGAATACATGTGTTATTTCTTCTTGAGATCTACACGTTATATGAGCACAGCGGCCGTTCATGTCAGAATATACATAAGGAAACGGCGGACTCGCCCAGGCTCATAACCCTGCCTTTCTGGCCTCGCTTTCAGACCAGTCCCACAAACGCTTAGCCATATCCGTATTTCGAACATATCTGTCGTGTGATTTGCAATTGCCGACCGGGACATAATATGCTCCATTGCGCAGGTCATCCTTCTTCGCGCCGGCGGCAGCCCAAAGCGAGTTCAAGGCACCTTGTGGAATCGAGGAGCCAAAGAATCGCAGCAATTTCAGGCTCCACTTCAACAGGGCGGAGCGGCTATTCATTGATTCATATAGATCCGTTAAGATCACACCGGGATGAACGGACACCGAAGTGATTGATGGATACCGGCGGCTGAGCTCGGCCGCGAAGAGTATATTTGCAGCCTTTGATGCTCCATAGCGCGAATTTGTGTCGACCTTCTTCAACTTCCCCTGATCAAGGATGGTCTCAAAAGAGGGAGCGAGATTATGCGCGACTGATGAGAGCGATACTATTCGCACGTCTGAGTCCGACGCATCGGCTGTCTTGAGCAGGGTCGGCATGAGCAACTTGGTGAGCATAAAATGCCCTGTATGGTTGGTCCCAAGCTGAATCTCATGGCCCAACTCTGTTTCCCCTGGAGGAAGAGCCATCACACCGGCATTCAGAATGAGTCGATCCAATCTGTCGGTCTCGGCTTGAAACTTTTCGGCAGCATTGCGGATTGATTTGGTGGATGTCAGGTCCAATGGTAGCCAGACAATATCCACTTCGCTCGAGGTAGCCTCTTTGATAGATTTGATAGCATCGACGGCTTTGGACTCAGTCCGAGCTCCTAGATAGATTTTGCGCGGGTTGTGCCGGGCTAGTTGAAGAACAGTCTCCTTGCCGAGGCCGGTGTTGCCTAGAGTCTGAATCAGTCCCTTCAGTTCAACAAGTGTTATGTCAAGTCGTTGTCTGTTGATCGTACGTACCGCCTGTTATGAGAATGACTCTTCCGCCCAGATCGGGGATATCAGTTTCTGGCCGAAATCTTACACCTCCAAAATAGTTGAATGGATTCAAATTAGCGGCGATGAACGCGGCCATGATTAGAAATGCGAAAAGATGACCTTTGTGCGACCAGCATTAGCAACGTCGACTGGATACACGCGCTTATTAAAGCCCTCTTATGTACCTACTGAATGGGGGCTTCTGCCGGCATCACCACCCCTTGCGTTCCCCAGGGCAACCACTTTCCGCTTCAGAGGTAGGACAAAGACCGATGTAACAAAGCACTGCAGCATTTACAATAAGTAGTAACTCAGATAATGGCTTGGACTTACAGAGCCCTTCAACAGAGGGACTCGGCCAACCTTGAAAGCTTGAGCGGATCGCATCGTGCCGACCGACCCCTGACATGTGATTTGGAGATGAAAATCTTTGTATGCCTAAATAATGTGGCATCAATGCAACCAGGACTGGGATTTGTCTCGCCCCGTGCGACTGCTCTACAGCATGGCGAACAGAAAAGTATTATTTAGTGTTTTACATAAAAGACTCGTATTCAAAAGTTAATAAGAGTGGGACCTTGATATTTTGCATGAGCCCTCGATGCAGTTTATGTAGCCTGCTAGGTGTCTTCTGTATGGTGACAAGAACTCGCAAAAATTCGCGGGAAGATGCCAGCGCGAAACCAAAAACAAAGCCCCACGCCGGGCTCGAACCGGCAGCCTCTTGATTAGAAGTCAAGCGCGCTACCATTGCGCCAGTGGGGCTGAACTATGTTAAGCGCTCACGTAGCTGACACTATATTGATTTTTGCTTTCTCCCACGCGACGAGGTAATGTTGGACATCCCCAATGTCTTCCCTAAACGAACATGGTAATCAAGACTTCGAGTTAATGAGTGCTAGGAGAGACAGACACCAACCGTACTTTGTTCCTAGATGATGCAGCCAGAGAAATTCAGAATTAATTTGTGCGCTCGGTGAAAGGAGTAGAGTTGAACATGGAACCTATTACTCGAAGAGAGTGGTGCAGGTGGACAACGGTAAACCCTCGGTCAATGCTGTATCTTACGCCCAATACCAGCATTGCGCTGGAGATGTTATGACGTGGATTCTTCCTCTCCGTCTCCATCATCGTCACAGCTAACTTCCACTTCTTCTCTACCTACCCATCTATGCACTACTGCAGATCCTATTCTCTTGCTCCAAGAACTATTCGCGACTATTGTGGGCCTCGAGTGTGAGGAAGAGAGATTGGTGGTTGAATTAATGATTGAATTGGTGAGGGTTCTTGTTTTGAGAGGTAGAAACGCGTGGTGAGAATCACGCAGGTGGTGGGTAGTGGGGCGATTATATCTAATGAAAGGTCATGAATTCTATACTGGTAGTTAATTTGAAGTGTCACGTGCACAGTGTATCCTGGATTTGAACAGCAATATTGAAAGACAGGAAATTGTCAATTAGATTCTATTTAGCTGAATTCCAAGGTGAGAGTAATAATAGCAGCTACTGATGTGGAAGAATTATTGGAAACGGATTTAAGAAGACCAGTTGATCTTAAAGAGGCCATGTATTGACGAAAAAGATGTGAGGATAAACAAGACTCTTGCTAAAGTTACAAACATGAAGGAAAAATAGAACTATAAGAGAATTGGTAATAAACTAAACAGCCAGTGGTCGTGGTGATTAATCTGTGGTGGCATGTCTAGTCATGATCCACCTAAAGTTTACTAGTTAGTTTTATATCTCAACTAGTAATACCTTATTGGCAGGCAATTGATGGCATTATATACCTAGACTTCAAGATGAACCACACCTGTCAGCTACAGAGTAGCGAGAAGACGCAACCGATGGATCTCTGCGATCAATGCATGTAACAACATTCGCACCCTCTCTTCAGCCAGGGTATCTGAGCAATACATCATTGAGATCTCGACTTCACTGCTGCCATCCTGGTTCTCGCTCAGAACTGTTGAGACGACCCAGAGATCCCATCCACCAAAGAACCTTGGTTTTATGACGGCTTGCGCTGAAACTTCATCCTGCAGTTGTATTGTGGGCGGCGCTTCCTCGAGGCCATGGTGTGCCACAACTGTGCTGATACAGTTGGCGCTAGCTTGGGCATCAGCATTTGCGCCAGAGAGCCAATTTGTGCAATCGCGTACGATATCCGAAAGCCCGTAGGCGTGATGTGGAAGACCTGCCAGGTGCTGGCTGTGGATGGAGTGAAGGAGGGCTCCAGCCGAAGATGAATCTGGTGTTGTTGAGGGCGAGACTACCCGCACTGGAACGATGTCCAAGCAGGGGCCGATAATGTAGTCAGTGGATTCTGATGGTACAATGCTGCGAGTTGTCACGCCGTGTCCGAAGACGATATCGAATTTGCCACGGGCGCTGCTGGCGTTGCTGTTGTTGGCAAGGACCAGAGCCCACGCGGCCTTGAGGTAGGTGGCAAATGTGTACTGATGTGATTTTGACTTTGCAGTGCTAGAAGATGGAGGTGGAGGACAGCGCATTTGGGCTTTGATCTCACTGTTTTCGACGCCTGTTTCTGTGGTCGATCCTGTGATTTCCGTCATTCTGGAACCTCGAAGCAGATTCTTCCAGAATTCTCTCGACTCCTTTCTAGGTGGCATTGAAGCAACGAACGAGTGGAACTGAGGAGCTGGATCGCATTCAAATGGAGCGCCCTGATACGCAATTGAGAGATCGCGACACAGTGTGTCTATACCAACGGCGTCATACAACCCGTGCGAGATGCAAAGGATAAGCTTCGTTGGGTCCCCTTGGACAAGTGAGAATCGGACAAGAGGCTTTCCATATCCGGTAGGAGGCATTGTAGAAGAAAATTCGGCATCTGATTCAACGATGGAAAGTCGCGGTTTGTTTGAGAGACGATGGCAGAGGATAACCTGCAAGAGTTTGACCTGCGGATCTGAAGATTCGACAAAGACGGTGCGCAGGATGCCATGTCGTGCAATGAGACGTTCAATAGCATGCTCCAAACGATGTAGGTGGACGGGACCATTGAAGGTGAAAGAGAATGTGTTCATGTACCCTCGAAGGGGAAGGAGGGAAACTTCGAATGCGAGGCGCTGGAAGCTAGTTGCGGGCTGTGTTGCCTCTATTTCGGACGAAGAAATGTCCAATCCTGCAATTGAATGCAGAACATTCTTGCTCTCGATTGGAGCTTGCGCTGGACTTGAGATTAATCCCGAGGAGTCAGAATCATAAAGCGACGCCAGGTCTCGCAGCGTATTTGCATGCAAAGCTTCAACCACAGTCATTGCAGAAAACCCATTCCTCCGGGCCGTAGCCACAAAACGCAATGCGTGAATTGAGTCGCCGCCTAGACGAATGAAGCTGTGATCCATATTGACCTCCTCGCGCTCGAGGCCCACAACGGTCGCGAATAGTTCTTGGAGCAAGAGAATAGGATCTGCAGTAGTGCTTGGAGGGGTAGGTAGAGAAGAAGTGGAAGTCAGCTGTGACGATGATAGAGACGGAGAGGAAGAATCCACGTCATAATCTTCATCCTCTTCATTACCAGGTTCTTCCACAAACGAGCGTAGCCCTTGGGCAGAGAGATGTGACGCAAGTTTCTGTAGAGCACCTCGGTCGGTCTTGCGCGCAATAGACTACGGCATACATGTGAGCGGGACGAAGGCCGTGGGAACCATATAGGAGGGCAGAACAGCGCGCAAACTATCTGGCAGTCGAGCTTCGCGGAGAATTCGAGCAAGGTTGCGTTTGGCTCGGGGAGTGTCTTCGATGTTGCTGCTCGTATCTTCCAGGCCCGAATACGAGACGGCCATGGACAGGAAGGCAACAAGCAGAGGGGTAGCTGTAGGATTGTTTTTATTCGGAATCACCACCTCCACGGCAAGATCATGGACTCTCTCGTCGAGTAGATTGCGTAGAATAACCTCAACCTCACCGGTCTCAATACGGTAACCGTTCAAGTTGACTTGGAAATCCTTCCGGCCCAAGCAGACGATTGATCCATCATCGGCATAACAGGCAAAATCGCCCGTCTTGTAGAATCGGCGAGTGATTGTCGAGTTTGGTGATTCTGCCCACGCAGGATTAGTTATGAAAACTTCGGCTGTCTTCTCTGGATTGTTCAAATAGCCCTTGGCTAGCAGATGGCCTTCGATGAGCAACTCTCCAACACATCCAATTGGCATCAGACGGTCATGGTTGTTCGCGTCGGTGATCCATATATTACACCCGATCGGAAATCCAATGTTGATGGGATTGGAGTCCGGTCCTAACCTGACTGTGCAAGACGTGGAGATCGATGATTCTGTGGGGCCATATACATTTCGTATATCAACGGGGCCATCTAGGGTTGCCCATCGCTGCAACGCTCTAGGTGTCATTTTCTCACCTCCGAAATGGATGTGACGAAGGGTTGGAACATTTGCAGGGTTCAAAGCGTCCGCGAGACTCGGCGTAATGTGCGCACCTGTCACATGCATACGATTCATTGCCCCTTCAAGGTCATTCAATCGCTCCCATTCCGATGGCACACAGACACACCCTCCATAAGTCCACGTCGTAAGCGTGTCCTCGATAGATGTGTCAAAGCTGAAGGTCGAGAACTGGATGATGCGGATGTTTTCGTGTCGAGCAAGTCTCTTTCTTCGTGGCTTTGCACCAGTGCGGTATGACTCGTGTGTGATCATGACACCCTTGGGTTTGCCTGTTGACCCAGATGTGAAGATGATATAGGCCAGGTCAGAGGGATCGCGTCGAGGTTGGGTCCGGTTGGTATTCTGGTATTGGGTGGTAGACTCGAGAGCATGATCATTCAGCACTATGAGTGTCGCGTCGGTCGCAAAATCGTAATTGCATGTCTTGTCGGATACAAGCATAACACGCGGCTGGATCTGAGAAACAATCTCCTGAAGTCGCCCAGCAGGTTGTGCTGGATCTGTAGGGACGAACGCAGCTCCAGTCTTGAGAACACCGAACATGGCAACCATGGCCCAGAGCGACTTCTCAAAACATAGAGGAATAACATCACCTGGCCCAATGTCATATTCAACTTGCAAGACGTCGGCTAGTCTTTGTGCGAGCTTATCGAAGCGCGCGTATGTCAAGTCTCCATCATGGGCACAGACAGCTTGTCCGTCAGGCCTGCGTGCCACCTCCTGATCCATAATATGATCAATGAACTCGCGGACAGGTTCTGGACGTATTTTATTCCAGCGTTCAAGCTCCTGTTTATCAGAGGTAGACAGGTAATCAATGTCATCCACGGTGGCCTGAGGACCCAGCTGTTGAAGTTGTTGCGCAACATGGTCGATCTGCTTCAAAATGCGCATCATTTGGACAGTCGAAATAACGTCCGAGTCAAAGATGGTCTGTAGCAGGCTACTGTCTCCAGCCAGGCTGTACTCAATGCATAGCGGAATGGTGTGGTATGACGAGGTCGTGGAATCATCGTCAATGAATTGGAAAAGAGGATCCACATCTTCACTCGAAGGCGATTGCACAACAGATAGTACGTTTTGGAAATCGCAGAGTTTACGAACATCTTCCGTGTCGGGGACGTGATGCTCGTGAGGCATCATCTGCACAGCTTCGTCTTGTAGAGTCTGCAGGAATGTCGGGATGGATATGTTCCGACCTTTTGGGATCTTCACTCTCACGGGAACAGTAGTGAGGGTAGGCCCACAAACACTTTCAATCCCCGTCAGACCCGCATTTCGTCCGCTGAGTGTTGCGCCAAACAGGACCGTTTCGGAATTGGTGTACTGGGAG